ATGCTGCTACCCCAACAGACGATGGCTGAAGAGATTACACTCTCAACAACAGACGTGTAGAAGATCTGCAACATCTTGCTAGACATTGAAGGACCTAAGCGTCCTCAAGAAGTGCAGTCTGCTGTGTCCCTTCTTGTAAACGGCTTCGCATAACCTCTCCACTGCCCTCCGGCAAGCTTCCCTGTCCATGGTGATGACCTGGGGAAGGGAAATGTTTCTTTTGAAGGGCCTTGTGGTATACCACCTTGCTGCCTCAAAGGTGTCCTCAAGCAGAGAATTCACCCAATCAAAAATAAAGACAATATTAAAATTACTGCTGTCATGAGATTAAAAACATATTTTACATTAATTATGTATGATCTAATTAATTTTCCCTGCTTCAGCATAGCTGATTTCAATTGATGGCTGATGAACAAGCTTTTGCTTCACTGCAATCATCTCAATACGGTCTACTATCTCACAGAAACTCCAAAAACATGCAGGGCAGTGTGCCTTGAGGACCAGGGTTGAAAAACACTCCTCTAATTATTATGTTATGAATGGCACCTTTTTAAGTCTGCTTAAGTCACATCATTTACTAATTTGTTGCTAGTTAGGAAAATTGGCTTTACACCATTCTTTCCGTATTCTATATTTAGCATGTAACAACGATTAAAAAACAAAACTAACATATTTTCCCTATGTAATGTATAGTATTTCTCCCTCAACAGTAGATTGTGCCAGATAATAATATTGTTCTAAAACTTGATAAAAGAGCATTAAGTCACGGTTTATTTAATTACACATATCAGATTAGCACTCTTAACCATAATAATAAAGCCCATCAGGTGTAGAACCCAGATACGAACATAAAAAGCTTAAAAAAACTAACATTTCCCCCTGTAAAATATATTTTCCACCTAAAAGTAATCATGACCACACAACATATCTCCCCAAAGCTATAAAAGTGTTCCTACAGGTTTCTTCAACTTAAATTTAAGTCTGTTTAAGATCTTTCTAAAGAAATGTAATACCTATTTCACAGCACTATCAGCAAAATAAATAAATAAATAAAATTAAATTATTGAACTAGTTTTCATTTATTTATCTATATATCTTTACCAATATATTTTGACAAAACACTGGGTGGGCACTTGGTAGAAGATCGGTTATATTTTTAAACAAATGGTTAAAAATATAACCGGATCTCTGGTTTGACATTAGAACCTTAACAATAATTTTTGTTGCCTATATTTTAGTTTAATTTTAAGAAGGTTTGTTTTTTAATTGTTAATTTTATTACCCTAATTTCTTGCAGACTTTCTATTGTATAAAAGCAACAGTGCAAACAATAAAGACACAAAATTGAAGGACCTAAGCGTCCTCAAGAAGTGCAGTCTGCTGTGTCCCTTCTTGTAAACGGCTTCGCTGTTCTTTCTCCAGTCCAGTCTGTTGTCCAGGTGAACTCCAAGGTATTTGTATTCCTCAACCACCTCCACTTCTTCTCCCATGATGGAAACAGTGTTTGACTCCACCCTGTTTCTTCTGAAGTCTAAAATCATCTCTTTTTTCCAATCTTCTCAGTTTGAAGTATCAACTATACCCAATCAGTCAGTTAAAGAGCCCCCTATCTCTAGTCCTTATGGAAGATTTTCTCCCATCCTGTTTTTTTCTGTGCAGAGACTCTCCCACTCTGAAGTATGCTCTATTGTAGGAATACCACCTCTGTTCATGTGTGAGAAATGGCTGTGGTTTACTATTACACAACCAGTGACCCAGTGTAAAAATACACACGTTTGAAATGCCGAACACTGGCAGTTCCTTCGTATATCTTCCAAGTATGAAACATTCTGCCTTTTTTCTAATCAGTTCCGGAAATTATTCCAGCTACACACACACACACACACACACACACACACACACACACACACACACACACACACACACACACACACACACACACACACCTCGTTCCCTGATTTAGCAAGTAAAAAGAGGACCCTGATGGCTTCTCAAGTAGACGTCAGTGATGAACTCTTGTCATTGTGACCGCACTTAGGAATGCACACAATCAGGGGTGTGTGTGTGTGTGAGTGTGTGTGTGTGTGTGTGTGAGTGAGTGAAAGGGTGCTGAAGGGGAGGTGTGAACAGCTGTGTGGGTCCACCCACTCACTTTTGT